TTGTTTTTTTATCGTTATAGTATACTTCAATTCCATATAAAGATATAAAAACGAATCGAGAACATTCTATTTGTATTACGTTAAGTCACACACGATTAAGAACGTGAGCAAACTCTAAAAATTTTTTGATCTAACCTTTATTTTTTTTTTATTACGTCACGAACAAGAAAGCATGTAAATGATTCTTAAGTCTTAATATATATATTTTTTTTTAAAAAAGAGATGTGTCTTACAAAAAAATAAATGAAACTAAAGAAAAAAAAAAATAATAAATGAAATGCTGTATATTTTACATACTAATATGTCTGAAAACGAAAAAAAGGAAAACTACATATTGCAAGACCTAAATGGAATGGAATAAAAGAATAATAATGATAATTTGAATTTGAATATTGAGGTTGAATATTGAGGTTGAATATTTCTTTATATTTATACAATTACCAGTATTGTAATATATCATAAACTTCCGCCGCGACTTCAGTATTATCTGCTTGAATAGCCGCGAATTTCAAGCTATATAAAGCTGTTTCCGCAGCGATATATTCGCAGACGGAAAAATGTTCTTTCAAATTATGAGTTCTAGTTAAAGACATTGTTCGATTTGGTATACGATTGATATATTGATTAATATTTATTTTTTCATTTTGAATCTTTTCTTTTTGTTTATATTGTTTACTATTTGAATTTGAAATTTCTATACGTTTTTTTTCAGCAATTTGAAATTCTTTTGTTATTTCTGTTGAAAGTCCATCAGAAATTTCTACTAGCCATTCTCCTATGATTTCACATAATTCATTGGTAGTTGGTCGATTTAATGGATCATGATTCCAACATCTTTGCATTAACCTACTATAACATTCTGGTATGTTTTCATCAATTTTTGGTCGAAGTCCATGACAAATATCTTTTGATAAAGAATTATCATGTAATCGATTTGAAAATGGCCTTTGACCTGTTGCCAATTCCCACATGATACTACCAAAACTATAAACATCGACGGCTGTTATGCATGGTTTGTTCTGTAATATTTCAGGGGCAACATAAGCTTCAAGAAATTCTTTTTTCTTAGGAGGATATAATCCCAAATCACCGATAAGAGTCATATAAGCGTTTATAAGTATATTTCCGCTATGTAAATTACAATGAATTAAATTTTTTTCGTGTATTTGTGATAAACCGGTGGCAACACCATAGAGAATTTCCAAACGTCGTTCCCATGTAATATTGAAATTATTATTCGTCAAATATTTTGTTAAATCACCATTTCTCGCGTATTGCATGACCAGCATATAATTCTTTGTTACTGGGTCTTGGGTCAGACCGTAGTATCGTATTATGTGAGTTCCACTATTATTTCCATAACGTAAATGTTGACGCAACTTTATAAAAAAGATAAATAAATGACGCGTAAATAATAATAATAATAACAATAATAATAACAATAATAATTATAATAACAATTATAATAATAATTATAATAATTATAATAACAATTATAATAATAATAAAATTATAATAATTATAATAACAAATATAATAATAATAAAATTATAATAATTATAATAACAAATATAATAATAATTATAATAATTATAATAACAAATATAATAATAATTATAATAATAAATATAATAATAAATAATCACCTTATCAAAGAAATCATGTGAAGTATTATGTGAATTGTCAAAACTTTTTAACGCA